TCCCGCGTAGTCTTGGGTGACGTTGACTTCTTTTTGCAGTCTGTCCTGGATTTCTCCCTCCGACCCTGTGGTGGTCCACACCGTGATATCGTCGGCGTAGGGGGCGTGTCACAAGTGCGGGATTTTGTTGAGTTTGTGCGGGAGGCCTGCCATTGCCACGTTGAACAGCAAGGGCCATACAACTGATCCCTGAGGTGTCCCTCGTCCTGTTAGACGAACGGGGTCCGAGCGGATATCACCAATCCCTAGGGTGGCGGTTCGATCCACAAGAAAGGATCGCACATAGTTGTATGGCCTTGTACCGCAGTGGGTCTCGGTGAGGTTGCGTAGAATAGCATCGTGCGAGACATTATCGAAGGCCCCCTTGAGGTCGATGGCTAGCACCGCTCTCGCCTGGGCTTGGCTTTGAAGTACAGGACCTCTTCCTTTAGTTGGAGGAGGACATCTTGCGTGGAGAGGCGTGGTCGAAATTCATACATGGTGTCCGCAAAGTACTCTTGTTCCTCGAGATATGGTTGTAGTCGTGACAAGACGACGTGCTCAATGAGCTTCCCCACACAAGATGTAAGCGAAACGGGTCGTAGGTTTCGAAGACCCAGTGGCTTGCCAGGCTTAGGGATAAGTGTAATGTCCGCGTGTTTCCATTCCTCCGGGATTCTTCCTGTCCTCCAGACTTCGTTGAAATATCGGGTGAGCGCCGTAATGGAAGCGTCGTCGAGGGTGTGCAGAATTTTGTATGTGACTCCGTCTTTCCCCGGGGTTGTGGTGCGCGTAAGCTTGGTGAGGACAGCTTCTATCTCCGATTCGGTGAAGTCCGCATCTAGCTGGCTCGGATCTTCCGTGTAGGAGTACTCTGCATAGTCGGGGCGTAGGCCGGCTGCGAGATATTGGGATTCTAGTTCCTTCACGATGGAGGGTTCGTCCCGCTGCAGTCCGTGCAGAAGTTTGGTCACGGCCTTGGATGTCTCGGTCTTGGAGCGCAATGGGTCCAGCAAGGATCGGAGGATTGCCCAAGTCTTAGCGGTCCCAAGCGTACCACGCAGCCCGTGGCATAGTTGGTTCCAATTGCTTTCCGCCAAGGTGGTTGCGTAGTCTTCCGCCTTTTGGTTGAGCTCGGCGATGCGCAGTCGCAGCTTGCGGTTGAATCTCTGCGTCTTCCACCGCTTGGTGAGTCCTCGCCGGGCGTCCCACATGTGGAGGAGATGGGGGTCTATCGCTGGGGTGTCGATGGTAGCATTGACTTTCTTGGTTACTCGATCAATGTCTTCATGGAGCCGTTGGGTCCACTCCTGAATGGAGATAATGTCTCCGCTCTCAGTGCTCCCTCGCTGCTGTCTGAACTCGGCCCAGTTCGTGAGTCGAGCGGGTCGAAGCTTTCGTTTTCTACGGCCTCCATCGCACACCTCGGTCTCCAGGATGTAGTGGTCACTTCCCAGCGTTTCGTCCAGGTTGGACCAGCTACACGAGGTGTGCGTGCGGACTAGGGTTAAGTCTGGGCATGTGTCGCGACTAACGCTGTTGCCCATTCTTGTGGGGTGTTCCGGTTCTGTCATGATGGTAAGGTGATTGTTGGCGATGGCTTGTGCTAACCTGCGTACCTTGGGGTTCTCCTTCACATATCCCCAGGTCGGGTGGGCCGCATTGAAGTCGCCCACGATCACTAGGGAGTTTGTTCGGGGCTGAACAACTTGGATCGAATCGTGAAAGAGGGTTCTGAAGTCATCGGCCTTCTCGCTTGGGGAGCTATAGACGTTGAGCACGAAGAGGCTGGGGAGCGTCTTTTTCTTGGGTAGGATTTCGAGTAATGTGTGGGGTATATGTCTATGCTGCTCGAACGAATGGTTTATGACGGAGATGTGTTTTGCGACGAGGGTTGCCGCTCTGTACAGTGTAGCCTCCGGGCCGCTATTCATTTGCATGAACATTGTATATCCAGAGAGGCTTGGAGGACAGTTTGGCTCTTGTAGTGCGATAATATCCGGTGCAAAGTCTCTTGTGCCGATGTAATGCATGAAAGCGCCGCGCTTGCGCCTGTACCCTCTACAATTCCATTGCCAGATTGTTGTTATGTGTTTCTCGGACGGGGTTAGGGTTGATGAAGAATGGGCTGTCGGTTTTTGGCTTGCGATATTAGATCTGAGGTGTGCCAGGGGGCTCCTGGGTCGTGGGGCTGGGCAGGATTTTCGCGTTGACCATTGTTGGTGTGGGTGCGGTGTTGCATGTGATGGCGACCGCGGACCCGTTGGGACTGGGGACCATGATTCTGGATTGCGCGATTTGGCGCAACTGAACTGTGAGTTCCGCCACCTGCTTCATCAAGGGCTGGATGAGGGGTTGTATGATCTGCTGGAAGCGAGACTCTTGTTGTGAAATGATTTCTTCCGCAAAGCTACGCATCTGAGCTTGTACGTCGTTGTGGATGACCTTGGCCAGCTCACAGAATCGCCTGTCAAGCTCACCCATCATCTCGGCTTGGAGCGCCTTCAACTTGGCGTTGGATTCTTCTCTGAGCTTTTCTAGGGTTTGGTCTGACGTCGCTTGTGCCTTTAGGGGGGTAAGCTCGCATTCTGACGTGGGGCTGGGTTTAGGGGGTGTGGAGGGTGGCGGTGTGAAGGAAGGTGTGGGTTTGAAGGGGTGCGGCTTCGTCAACCTTACTTTACTCGCGGGCTCGCTGGGATCGGAGAGCTCAGCTGCCGGGACGGCGGGTGGTTGACCTGGTGATTCAGGGAGATTTCGGTTCCGCTTCTTAGGGTTCGGCGCCGGTCCTTGTTCCATCGCAGCTGCTTCCGCAGGTGTGGGATCCGTGACGGACGAGAATTCCTCGCGCGCTATTGGTTTGTGGCTCGGCCGTGGTCTGGGTTGCGGGTGCTCTACCTTGGTTGACGCCGCAGATGGCTTCTGACGCGGTCCTAACAGTCCCGTCAGAGGCCTGCGTTGTACTAAAGGTTGGCGGTTTAGCTGGCGACGAACGCGAGCCTTGTTGAGTGGCCCCCGCTGTCTTGCCGGACACTTTGGGTCGGTGGCTGGATGCGACCCACCGCAGTTGACACATTTTTCATTGCAGTCGTGCTCTTGGTCCGCTCTTCCGGGTTTGCCGCATCTGCAGCATTCGTTCTCCTCGGTATGTGGGCAAACATCCACGCGGTGTCCCAGGCCCAAGCAGGCGGTGCATATTTGTTCCCGGGGTCGGTGTGGTAGGCACCGGTATTCGGCGCCCCTGAAGTACACGTAGTAGGGAACCTTCAATCCCTCAAAGTTGATAATGGCCGTGTTTGTTTGGCCCATCATCCGTGCGCATAGGACCTTGACTCCCTGTGCTCGTATTCTCGTAGAAAGAATCTCGGACGTCGGTCTTGAATCCAAACCCATGATCACTTCCCGGCATGAATTATCTGGCAAAGCGATGTAAGCAAGGATTTCGTATTGGCGGCCGTTGATTGTGATAGCGGGAAGCTCTTGCACCCTGACCGCTACCTCGGGCTCAGGGGTGCTAACCACGACGAGGTTCTGGTCGCGGCGTATTCGGGTCTTGACTGTGCCGATCTCCGCTGCAGTGAGCTGGGCTGCGTCTATGAGAGCGACTTGTTCGGCGCTCCATACTGTGAAATTGAGGCCGTCCCTAGGTCGTATAATGACCTTGTGGTCATTCACGAATAGCGGCGGCAGCCGGTGTGTTGGATGGGTCTTGCCGGCTCGTCCGGGCCTCCCAGTCGGTTTGGGGGGTTGGGATTGTTGTGCCACAGCTTGGGCGGCGGCCGCGGCACGTTTTGCGATACGTTTCTGCTTCTTTACCGGTCGGTTGACTACGTAGGTCTATGTGTAGGCACCTGAGCTTTGCGGGGCCGAGCCATGTTCCATGGGTTGGGCGACGCATGTCGTCTTAGAAGGGGTTTGGGACCCGGAATTTTCTTCTGTGTCGGTGCTGCATTCGTCCGAAGACGATAGAGAGATCATTTCGGGCGGCGCAGGGTCCGTCGAGGGCAGGACGGGACCTGAAGTTGCTGACCCTAGGCGTGGTTAGGCTGAGCGGCCCGCAGCATGGACTTGGGCAATCCTATCTTCGGTTAGGCCTAGCGGGTGCGTCCCGGTTCGGATTTTCAAAGGGCCGAAAATTAAATTTCGGGAGGACCTACTTGCTTATATATAGATATTCCCTGGTCCTGACGACGAGAGCAATCATTTGTTGTTGATTGTGAATCTCGGGTGACGAAATGAACGAGCTAAGTAGCGCTGAATCGGAGGAGCGAATAACATACGTGGCACTCACTTAGACGTCCTCTTCTTTTTTTCTGTCACCTGAATGAATTCTCGCCAGTAGCCCCCCGGCTGGGGCACACGTGGGAGAAGCAACTGAGGCAAAGCTCTGTCCCAGCGCACCTGACACATAGTGCGAAGAAAAACATCATTCGCATTTCGCACAGACATTAATCGGTTCACAACCTGACTCAGAAATAAATGAGCTAACTACAAGGCACCGACAAAGATCAGAAATAAATGAGCTAACTACAAGTCACCGGATCGGGCATGCGGAAAGAAATTCTTCCATCTAGTCCATTCAGAAGTCGATCCCCAAGCAAAAACGGCTAAGACTCTATTTATTTGCTGTATACTAACCCGCGATCAAGCAGTGCAGCAATTGAAATGCCTGCCACTATTTTATGACAAGAAACAAATTGCACACCGTAGCACGTGTAAACATCGACAAGTTCCTGTTCTTCCATCTTTCAGCTTTGTCACGCAGCTCTACCGTCTGTCTTTTCTAATAGGGCTCGCTACCACGGTAATTTTCTAACTGGACACCTTGGTACGGTGTAGGTGTGTTTATCCAGTTCATATTTTTAAACACTGCGGGGGCTCTGTCCCCTTTCCCATGCCGGAGACAAAGACATTTCTGCCAGTTTACCGAGGTGCTACTATGTTTGCCAAAAAGCTTAACAAATCTCATTGTCTCTCTTATTGTAGCAGCGTGACGCTGCAAGTCACGGCGCACCACGGCGCATCGGCTGTGCGCACCCCGGTCACGGATGTCACGTGACAAGCGTCTATAAGTATAGCACGGTCAATAAAGAAGCCCTCTTTGCCCGTTGGAATGTCGTCTGCTCAAGTTATCACATTGGCGACGAGGATGACAACGCACCCGCGCTGCCCAGCGGAAGCGTCGCAGACGGCAGCAGACGAGCACCATACGAGCGGGGCCAACTGAACGGACAGCGACAGCCAAAGCAGCGCAGTCATCGCATCTCAAGCGGGCGACGGACGGAGCGGACACGACGGACGGAAGCCAGCAACCGATAAGTACACCGTCGGTTTGCCGAAATATGGCACCTCTTGGAAAGCTTGACGAATACGACGAAAAACAACAGAATTTTGACTCGTATTTAGAGCGTTTCGAGCACTTCGTTAGCGCAAACGACATCAAACCAGAAAAGAAGCTAGCGGTGTTCTTGACCGTAATAGGACCTCGAGCTTACGAAGTTCTGAAAAGCTTGGTCGTACCGGCAGTACCGGGAGATAAGTCGTTCGAAGAAGTGAAAGTTATGCTGAAAAACCACTATAGCCCGAAGAGCTCGGTCATAGCGGAAAGGTGCAAATTCAACAGACGTGTACAAGAGGAACAGGAGAGCGTTGAAGATTTCATTGTAGCGCTAAAGCATTTGGCAAGGAAGTGTGACTTTGGCCAGTTTCTGCAAGATGCTCTGAGGGACAGGCTTGTGGCGGGAATACGGCGCGAAGAAACGCAACGTGCGCTATTCGCCGAAGAAAGCTTAACCTTCGAAAGGGCTTGCAAGATCGCATTGGATCAAGAGCAGGCGGCACGACAGACAGCGTTACTACACGCCGGAAGCAAAGACGCGTCGTTGAACGAGATAAGAGCGAACCAGAAAGATAACGTCAATAAGCGTGACGTTCGAAAACACAAGCAAAGCAAGAAGTCTTGCGAAAGATGTGGAAGGGCGCATGCGGCAAGCAAATGTTGGTACAAGAATGCTACGTGTCACAAGTGTGGCAAGTTAGGCCATTTGCAAAAAGTGTGCTCGAACGAGAAAAAGGGACCCAAGAACGCGAATGCAGTGGACTGCTCGGAGGACGATTCAGAACTGGACGTCTATCACTGCCTTAACACGGTGCGTTCGGGTTATGAAGTGAAAGTCAATGTTGAAGGGGCGGACGTTTTCATGCAAATTGATACAGGAGCGGCTGTAACAATTGTTCCTGAAAGTGTTGCGAAAACCGTGTTCCCTCATGTCAAGTGTGAGCCATCTCGGGTAAACCTAAAAACGTACACGGGTGAACGAATCCCGGTAAAAGGGCAATGTGACGTTTCCGTCACATACGAAAACCAGACTTTGAAACTGCCCGTTATCGTCGTCGATAACCAAGGCAAGAAATTGCCGTTGCTCATGGGGCGGAACTGGCTTGAGAGGCTCAGACTTGATTGGAAAAGCGTCATGTCACTGGAGCATGTAACTGATTCACACCGAATAGAAGCGCTGCGTAACAAGTTCCCGACAGTATTTTCTAATCAGTCTAGTGTCACGAACAACTATCAAGCGAAGATAGTTCTAAAACAAGATTGTACGCCGGTTTTTTGCAAGGCGAGACGGGTGCCTTACGCGTTACGCGATAAGGTTGGAGAAGAGCTGGACAGGCTAGAGAAGAGCGGGGTTTTACGCCGCGTAAGTCACAGTGAGTGGGCGACTCCGGTAGTTGTAATTCACAAGAAAGATGGATCACTCAGGTTGTGCGGGGATTACAAAGTAACGATCAACCCTGTACTAAAAACCGACCATTACCCACTGCCGCGACCTGAAGATCTGTACACTGCCATCGCAGGTGGCAAAGTGTTTTGCGTGCTGGATCTTTCTGCTGCGTATCAGCAGGTACCGCTGGCTGCCGAGTCCAAACCACTTTTGACTATAAACACGCACATGGGGTTGTTTCAGTTCCAACGCCTACCGTTTGGTGTGGCCAGTGCGCCAGCCATTTTTCAGTCCTTCATGGACGAGGTGCTTAAAGGCATACCTCATGTGGGATGCTACATTGATGACGTCATCGTGTCTGGAAACGACACCCAGGACTGTCAAAAGACGCTGGAATGCGTCTTGCGTCGACTTCGTGACTACAATGTCACTTTGAAAACGGACAAGTGCCGTTTTTTCCAAAGCTCGGTGACCTACCTGGGTCACACGGTGAGTGCCGATGGCATTTACCCGACAGAAGCAATGACAAAGGCTATCACAGAAGCGCCCGAGCCCACCTGCGTAACGGAACTGAAGGCGTATTTGGGGATGCTAAACTTTTACGCTAAGTTTCTCAAGAATGTTTCGTGCGTAGCTGAACCGCTTTATCGGTTGTTGAAAAAAGGTGAAAAGTGGTCGTGGACTCGGAAGTGCAGCGAGGCCTTTGCTGCTACGAAGCAGTTGCTCGTAAACAGCCAGGTTCTTACATTCTACGACGTAGACAAGCCAATTGCATTGCTGTGTGATGCTTCATCGTACGGGATTGGTGCTGTCATTTTTCATGTAACACCAGAAGGGGAAGAGCGCCCAGTGGCGTTCGCGTCGCGAACGCTCACGTCAGCGGAAAAGAACTATGCGCAGTGCGAGCGAGAAGCGCTAGCTCTGATGTTTGGTCTGAAAAAGTTCCATCGCTACCTGTATGGTAGGGAGTTCACTCTCTATACAGACCATCAGCCACTGCTTGGGATACTGGGGCACGATAAGCCTGTACCTACGCTAGCGGCAGCTCGAATGCAAAGATGGGCAATGATTCTTGCAGCCTATAGGTACAAACTCAAGTACCGTAAAGGAAAAGATGTCGAGGTGGCTGATGCTCTGTCTAGACTCCCACGACCGATGACAACAGCTGACGACCCTGCTGAGTGTCTTTTGTTGTTTGACAGTACTCCCTTGACCGCGGAAGACATAGCTAGAGCTACAAAACGTGACTTGACCTTGTCTCGCGTAGCTAACTACGTTCTGAATGGTTGGCCTGCCCAAAGTAGCGAAGAGCTAAAACCGTACCATGTACGACGTGACGAGTTGTCATTTGAGCAAGGCTGCGTCACCTGGGGCTCAAGGGTGATTGTACCTGAAAAGCTGCAGTCACAGGTTTTGGCACTGTTGCATGAGGACCATCCAGGTGCTAGCCGCATGAAAATGCTTGCCAGAAGTTTTGTATGGTGGCCAGGGCTAGACCTAGAAATCGAGAGCTACGTACGACAGTGTCGCGTATGTCAGTCTGTTCAGAACGCTGCTCCACCTGTACCGTTACAGCCATGGAGCTATCCAACTAAGCCGTGGCAACGAGTACACGTGGATTTTGCTGCTAAAGAAGGCCATGTCTTCCTAGTACTGGTGGATTCTTTCTCGAAATGGATCGAAGTGTGGTCCATGTCTTCCACCACTACTGGTAAAACACTCGACAAATTGCGAAGTGTATTTGCGGCTTATGGGCTACCAGAGGTACTGGTGAGTGATAACGGACCTCAGTTTGTTTCAGATGAGTTCTCTGAGTTTATGAGGGTGAATGGCATCAAGCACGTTAAGACGCCACCCTATCATGCTGCCTCCAACGGCGCAGCAGAGCGTCTCGTGCAGACCACAAAAAAAACTCTGCTGAAGCAATTGTTAGACGAGAAACAGAGTGGCAAGAAACACTCTTTGCTCGAGCGTTTGGATAGCTTTTTACTGAGCTATCGAAACACCCCAAACAGTACCACTGGTCGCACTCCGGCCGAGCTGTTTTTGAAGCGACAGCCACGAGTGAAACTTTCTTTGCTTAAACCCGATTTTGTAAAAGCCATGCAAAACAAACAGCAGCACCTGAAGGAACAGAGTGATGCGTCGCGAGGTGCTAACCGGTCTTTTGTTGTGGGTGATACTGTGTTGGTCAAAACGGTGCGAGGCGAGCTAGTGTCATGGGAAGAAGGTGTGGTGACTCAAGTCGTCAGTCCTGTGACATATTTAGTGAAAGTGGCGCAGGTTGTGCGGTTCACACACGCCGACCACATCCGAGACCGCCTTGCAAGCCCGACGTCCCTTGCTGCACCGCCTACGCCGGAGGAGCCTACGCTCCCAGATGTTCCGGTGCCTCGAGAAACCCAGCCGATGGTGCCACAAGTTGCTTCTGCTGCTATGCCAGCGGACTCTCAAGCCGGCAGTCAACAAGCTACACGGACGCGTGAGCAGCCGCTTCCACCACCGAGTTCCACAAGTGCGCCAGTGACGACACCGGAGCCTTGTACTGAGGCACCGACTTCCAGAAGAAGTACGCGAGTGCGGCGTCCACCGGACAGGTACAAACCGGAGGACTTCCGAAGCTGATGTGAGGGGGAAGGAATGTAGCAGCGTGACGCTGCAAGTCACGGCGCACCACGGCGCATCGGCTGTGCGCACCCCGGTCACGGATGTCACGTGACAAGCGTCTATAAGTATAGCACGGTCAATAAAGAAGCCCTCTTTGCCCGTTGGAATGTCGTCTGCTCAAGTTATCACACTTATGTCATTTTATCCACACAAAAATGGCATTATCATCCGGATATGATAATACACGGATCTCACTCAGCCTGAGTCACCAAGGCGGCATAAAAAAATAGTATAAAATAATAAGCCACATAAGGGTTTTGAGGGTGCCAGCAACCGCCTTCTAAAAGTTACGACTAGGAAGATAAATACAACTTGGGTTATTATGGATGAAAAGAAGCTCCAAGCATCTCTGTCTCAACATCAACATTCTTCAATTAAAAGAACAAAATATATCTCGCACGTTTTTGGAAAGCACGATATAAAATGTCACTAAAGAGCAAATGTGAATCACTCACGGCGTTTACAGTTTCGTGCAAGAAAATTAGGACATTCGTAGGCCAAATAAGCGCGAGCTCCGAATAATCTGTCGTAAACAGTAAGCACAATACGACGTTGCTCTTTTCAAAGTGTCGGACAGACTCACTGCAACGAATATCCACGCGACTGCGCAGGGCTGTCGTTTTGATAAATCTATTGCGTAGAAAAAATGAATCATGTATAAGCGCAGTCTCAATGCCACTCACTGTGCATGGTTTTCCACTGAGACCGTTTGATCTTTGGGGCGCGATATCAGCCAACTTTTTCAGTGACTGAACTAATCAATATGAGATTACAGCTTGTATATAATTTCCCTACGGAGGAGTATACATTCAGAAAGTTCTGATAGTGTTCTGGTGGGCTCTGATAAGAATCAAACATATGGTCGAAACACCGAGTCAAAATCGCACGAAAATCAAAACATGAGATGATAGTTTCGCACCATTGTTTTAAAAACGTATTTGGCGTGCGTGCATATATTTCGCACAAAAAGGTTCAAACACCCTTTCGGCGAAATGCGATTTACGTGGAGTTAGTATCTTCGTTTTTTAGGAAAATAGCCTGGAGCTATTTTCGTGCGATTTTCCGTAAGTTCTTCGCACATGCGTTCCAGTCTGCCGTAAACACGTCTTGAGTTTTCATAAAGTAGGCGCTGAGACTAACCACTAACTTAGTTTGACGAAACATCGCGTGGGAAATTCTTCCTGTACCACAGCTCCCCCTTTTCGAAAGATGTCTAGTTTGTGTTTTTGCAGTCTGTAGCTGTTGCCGCTCCCTTAGATCACGCGCGCTGCTTCGAGACATATTCGAGACTCGCTCAATGAAGGCCTGCTGCACGAACCCGCCCGTGGGCGGTTCTCTTCTCGGAGTTGTTCCGCTGCTATTGATCGGAATGGCATTTCTACCACAGTGCTCCTTGGCAGTTTCAGCGGTGTCTGCGAGAAAATGCTTCGCTCCGACATGTGTCCAAGTACAGTGGGTGTAATGCTGCTCGAATATTTTTTCTGCTTCCCGGCGCCAGTTGTTGGGAGCTCTAGAAGGACAGATCAAAATTGCATATCGCATCTTTTTGTTCAGCGAGGATCAAGAATTGCGTGTGGTACGGCGCTTCGAGGAACCGCGAATGCATTTTGAGCAGAACCTATGACATCTTTGTGGACAGGTACTTGCTTTTCTAAAGGGAGCGACAGCTGTTCTGGGTAAAAATGAATATTACTATAGCATTTACAGTTGCTAATAATATATCGTCAAAATAGTAATAAGAACGGTGTGTCCCAACTGTTAGCTGATTGAGGAGGAGTTGAGGCAAGGTGAGGGGTAGTGGTTGCGTGTACGACGAAGCTCCGCCCCGCAGCTGCTCCTCAGTCCGGAGGGTGGCGGATGGAAATGTCTGAACAAGGTCAGAAAGAAGGCGAAAATTTCACTCGGGCTTCGCGCATCTCCTGGCAGGGACACTATTGGTTTAGGGCCTTCGCTGGGGAGTGGTGGCGCCCCACGCGGCCTTTAAGCACGCACGCTCGCGCCCTACAAGGCCTTGAATCATGTGCGCAAATAGGTACGCTTCTTCGAGACCCTACTCACGTTAATTTATTTATAGCAAAATACGACCTTCACCATTTGGAGACAGTAACATCTATTGATTTAAGGAAAGGTTCACTCGTCTGTGGGTTAAAGTCCCGAGGAGAGAAGCAAAGAATTGTGGGGATGGATGGGAAAGAGTAAGTGACCTTGTGTAAACCTACATGAAGTGATGGACTTCAGAGTCCCCGATGTAGCGGGTCAGGGAGTCAAGTATTTGTTTTTGTGCTGCGACTGTCCTTTGAGGTGGGTCCAACCTTCAAGCTTCGTGGGCCTTTTCTCACTGGGTAGCGAGTCCCATGTCTCTGCTCTAAAGTCGTCGAGGCTCTTGCATTCCCAGCTGTGTATGTGTCCTTCTGCTTCTCGTCCCTCGTAGTTTGCGCTGGTTTAACCTTTTAAAAATGTTATCCTTTGCATGAATGGGCAGTCCTGGTAGAAGTGCACGAAGCAGGTACGAAGTAGTTTGTTTTGAATAGAGATCTGAAGGCTATTTTAGCGCAATACAGTGTTCGACGCCATGCATTCCAAAGAAAAACGCTCTGACACATATTTTTGTACATTCGATTGTAAAACATTACAAACTTTTTATTCTGCCACAACACTAAGCGATGTTCGCTCTTATAATCGAGTACGAAGAGGAAAACGTATTCGCGTTTTCCCATAGGAATGCATTACCGGAATGAGAAATTTCGACTGGTTTCTGTCTGCTTCAAAATGCAACAACACACTAGCGCCACCTGAACCTCTAGCGTTTATTGTAATAACTCCATGTGGGAAAGGCCTCGTCTTCTATATGGCATCGCTTGAGTCTCCCGTGGGATCCGGAGGCCATCTCCTTTGATTGTTTGCACTGTCATCTTCCCATGTGGGCCTCGTTCAGTAAAATTGGCCCAAGAAAGGAGAGTCGACAGTTTTCCGAGACGCGTTGTGAAAGTCGACGAGGAGAGTCGGGGGGCGAAACCAATTAGATTTTAGTTTAACGGCCTAATCCTCGGCAGCGGGCTTCGGAGGATTTTTGTCCACAGGCTGCTCAGGAAAATTCGTTCTGCGTTCACCCTCGCGTAACAGATGGCTGCTTGTAATGCGCTAGACAAATTCTGGAAAACAGATGTGAATTATTTTAATGGTACGACGTAGGTGGTAATTGAGGATTAATAGGATCAAAATAACTACCTATCTTGCTTCCACATTTGTTGCGTCTATAATTGATTCTTATCGCTTTTTTGGAAGTTGTCCCAGCAAACAGACCGACTAAAGTCACTGGTAGTGCTTTTTTGTGTCAAATTTGGCACATAAAGCTACCCCCCCCCCCTCCCCCAGCTTATCAGTCGTAGCGCGGTAGTACCAACGCAATCCGCTACTGGTGCTGGTGAGTTTTTTGGTTTTTTTTAGGATGAGGAAGGATGAATTTTAAATATTTAATTTTTACGGAATGACTACGAATAACGACATTTAGTTACCTGATTCTACATGTCGAATGTTGCAAACTCGCATAAGTGAAAACCCCAAAACAGAAGAAACGGATACTGTGTTCGGCAGTTCTTATCTTTCTTTTTTTCTTTTATATAGGCATATGCTTTTATTTTCCAAAACAGCAGACCTGGAAAAAGAGTGACGCCGAGTGAGTGTTGTCTTTTGGTAAACCAGGCTGTCTCTCAAGGCAACCTACTTTTCTTGTAAGTTTTAGATATTTCCTACTTGTAGAGTAAAAAAATATTACTCCCATTAGTATCTAATTACATTAATGCGTGAATATTGTGCACACGCATGCTCCATACAAAGGATGGGTTCAGTTCCAAACAATCGCAATAGCCTTACAAAACATGCTTCTACCGATCTCAAAAACTCCGGAATATGCGACGTGCGACAGTTCCATTCCCGGAATGACCCTATGAAAGCAAATATCGCTTACCTATGCACTAATGGCCTGATGTCAGCTTCAAAGAACTCCTCTTGCGAGGCTATGCATATCGACAGACGGTGGTGCCAGTGCGGGAGACATTCTTGGAATTTATTTTCCGGAATACCTCGAAGTAACGTTGTTGTGTGGCGCTGGATGTCAGGAATGTCAGAAACTATTAGTCCTTTCAATGCTCTTTTTTTTTTTCGTTTTGAGAAGAGTATAAATTTACCGAGCGCTAATTCAGGTGAATAGAGCGGATGTTTTATTAACGTGAAAGGTTCTTTGGCTAGTTGCTACGGGTTTCGTGAAACCGCATTTTGTGAAGCAGCATTTTGTGAAGCCGCATTTCGTGAAGCGGTGGCCCGTGACGTCATTCGACTTCAGTTTCCCCGTTAGATTTAGAGGAAAAATTTACGTAACGTAACCTCAACACCAATTTAGTTTCCCCGCTACATTTAGCGGGAAATATGATGTCACATGACTTCATGTCACATGACCTTACATAAATTATATTTCCCCCTAAATTTTAGCAGAAAACATGGCGTCACGTCACATGATCTCACGTGTCCTAAACTCTATTTCAGTTTTCCCTCTCGATTTAGAGAGAAAATTGATGTCACGTGACCTATGCATAAATTCAATTTACCCGCTGAATTTAGCGGTAAATTTGACACGTGACCGATGGGGAAAGTCACTGGGGTGGAGAGGAGTGGAGACACCTGGAGGCACAGCTCAAAAAGAAATGCCTGGAGGTTACCAGCGCTAAACCAAGAACGTTTCAAGTAGCAACACACTTGCAAGGGAATGCGCGATACAAATTGTTTTGTACTGTACTTATTACCCAGGAGCTCCCGAACTTTTAACACATCATACGCAGGGGCGTTATCATAATAGAAAAATCACTTCTCAGGTCAGATTTCGGGTATTTTTCATTCAACAGATTACCGTAATCATGGCAACAATTTAAAGTAATCATTTTAATGAACCACTTGTTTTCTGGAGAAAAACAAAATGTAGCGAACTATTCCATTATTATCATAGAAACACAAAAGTGTGGTGTTGGAGCTGCGACGATACATGCGTACTTTTTTTATCTGACGTCACTGTCGTGCTTTCTACTTTATTCTCTTGCGTTTCGTTTCAAGGTCA